AGTATTAGATAAATTTCAGTAAGTGTGTTCAATACTTTTTCCCTGTGCCATTCCACATTATTACAAATAACTTCATTTGATTTCCTTGCATGCATGGATCACTTGGGTTGTTACCGACATCTGGTGAAAATTTCATGTCATTAGCACCTCTAGTAATATATTTACTGAGAAAAATGGTGACGTGTTCAATACTTATTTTACCCACTGTAAATACCACATACATGTAGGCTAAAATCATTTTATCAACACAAACAGTTGTTTTCTGTAAATAATCATTGCTTTCAGTCTTTCATCATCAAATCGATTTTAATATTTGCAATAAAACGTGAAATATCTTTAAAACATGAAATTAATATAAAACTATCTACAGCAAACAAAAAAATTACAAATGGTAATACGTTCAAGTAGGATTAAGATCATTTTATTTAGAAGAAATAAATTAAACATCATATACAAAATATATATATCTGTCATTTAGCATAAAATATAACTTTAACCAGAATTCCCCAAAATTAGCCYACAGTCATCATTCAAATAAAAAAAGTTACACCAAAATCTATCGTACCTTTCAGCAGGCGAAGAGAAGAATAAAAAAATCTATTATTAAATCAAATATTACAGTATGTCAGTGCTTTTCAATCTGCAGTTTAAAACAAAAATGTTTGTAACAGTTTCACAGAAACTAAAGAATCCCGCGTCACACTCAGTGCGACCGCGTGTTCCCATAGGAAGCATTTAAACGCCGAGCTGTGGTACGGGCTTCCTCCCAGCCTGCAGAGCCTTCCTCCTGCGTTTGCAGCAGATCACTGTGACGGCGATGAGTACACCCGTTACCATGACCGCGAAGAGGAAAGCACCGGCGATGACGCTGGGAGAATACTCTGTAAGGACAAAAACATGACCGTTTGCTCAGGCTCACATTAAAGATGGAGGAAACTATCAGCCCTCCACCACCATGCTGATGTGCTGCTGTGCATTTTGGGTAAGCATCTCTGATCCAGGCACCGTGTTCTCTTTAAAGAGGACAGACTTTTTCCTCAAACACTTCCAAACAACACACTTGTTTAGTCTTTGTCCTGCCAYGACCTTTAACCTGTTAACTGAGGCCTGTATAGCCTGAGGTGGAGATATGTCCTCTGACCACTGCACAGTCTGACCTTCAGGGTAGAAGACTGGCAGCTGTCTTAAATGTTTTGAATCTTTCCCTCGTAGATCGATGGGAATCAAATGGTTTGGAAATGACCAGAATAGTTTCTTCAGACAAATTTGTCTATGTGGGTAATTTCTTAGTTCCTCATCGATCTCTAGATGTTGAAGCAGATTTCTCTCAAATATTGGAACCCGAAAGTTATTTCAGAGTAAATCWGGATGTTGGGTATCAAAGTCTCTATAGTTCCCACATCCTTCCTCTCTCTGAGCTCAGATAGTAGCTCATTTATGAATGTCTGGCTGGTTATATAACTGAGGTATCTTGGAGGTTGGCAGCATCAGGGTTGGAACCCTGAACTCTCGATCTTCCAGTCGATCATTGTTCCAGCCTGTTTTCTCCGGTGCTTTAGGCGAACTAACGCTCAAGAGTTCTGCACAGATCTAGCAGCTGTTTTTGATCTGTTTAACRGTTTGCTTGCTTTCACATTTAGCTGTGCCGTTTGGAATCAGAGTCTGAGTGTAAGCAGCGGAGCAGCTGACCTTCAATGATGGACGAATCGTCGTTTTCRGAGCACTGGGTTTGGCTCATCTCCCCCAGCTGCTTCTCCTTTCGGCTGGGGAGGTACGCCTGAAYACTGAAGCAGTAACTCTCTCCTGGGTCCAGACCAGTCACCTCGATCACACTGCCCTCGTGGTCCAAGACTTTCTGAGGAACAAAGCAGGAAAAAAAACCCACATGAATGGGTCTGATCCAGACTACAGAAGGAGGAGAAGTGTGCCATGTTGTTACAAATGTTTTACATTGCTTGTGTCTGTTATAAACTTCTGTCACTTTTATTTAATTTTCATTTAAAAAGGAAAGTCAGAGCATTCCTTGAAGGAGTGCATATCATTAGCCGTGTAGCATAATTGCCCAAGACATATTTGGTCACAAATGACTTAGACATTTATGCTATGCGGCTAGCGATATACAGTGTATAGCCAATTTTGTGTTGGCTAATATCAATTAGTTGTGTGTAGATGAAGGACCTTTTCTCATTACTTATGGCAGCTATCTTAATTTGAAGTAATTAGACAATAGATGCAAATAAAAAGATTACTTTCTGAGAGAATCAATCAAATCTGTTCAGTGGTTGATGCAATATTTTGCTAATGCTACAGACAAAAACGCACAGAAATATATATAGCATATAATATATATAGCATGTTATAATAGAATATAATATAATAGAATAGAATATATAGTATTAGCTCAAACATTGCAGCATCTCTCAGATCTAACATGTTTCCTCCGATCGTGCGTGCTGTAACTCACTTTCCCAGAGCTCTTGTTTTTCCTGTAGGTGACTCTGTACTGCAGCTGCTCAGCAAACACATCCCTGATGGTCAGCTGGCGGCCATCTTTAAACACCGCTGTGAGCGGGTCGGTCACATTCAGGGTGATTGTCTTTTGGTTCTCGGCCACCTTCATCTTGAAGTCTGGTTTGCCGATGTCAGCTGTGGAGAGGAGAGGCTGGATCAAACTGTGTTACAGGCAGCCATTCACAGAACAAAGTTACTATCAAYGCTCATTTCAATAACTTATTTATAGCAGCATACGTTAGTAAGTTCATTTAGCCTCTAGGATTTTCCGAATAGAACTGCAATGGTCTCTTGATTTATTTTTTTAATTGAATATCTGTTTGAATAGTAGGACTGGGTAAATGTTAATGTTTCATTGAACTAGAGATGTATGCTGTAAGGTAACTGTTTATACACTGCCTTTGAAGTTATTCTGCACATAAAATATATCAAACATGTTCAACAAAAAAGCTTAGCACAAAGTAAGTAAATGAGCATTTAGCAGATTTTTTGTTGTTGTTGTTGTTGTTGTTGTAATGATGCTTCCTGGCAATAAATGTTTTACTGTTGGAACGTCTGTTAAATTCCCCTCTAAATGGTGCCACATTTGTAAGGATTTGTGRAATGAGCAGTAGAGCTGAGTATGTGGGTTGATCAGAATCTAATCTGTCAAACAGCTCATTTTGTTGCTGCTGGTRCCCCCAGGTGCTATAAGGTTGACCTGCTTCAGTCCACAGCTGCTCGTTAACATGAACAGGTGTTCCTCACTGCTCTCAGCAGATGTGTGCAGGTACTTCTGGCATTCTGTTTCAAAGAAATTATTAACTGTTTTAATGGGATTATAAAGTTAAAAAAGGTGTGCGTGGAGATTTTAGCCCAGAATGTTCCCCTTAGAGTCAGACAATGTCATATGTTTAGAAGAGATCAGCACAGAGAGGACCAGTCCAGTACAGATGGACAGTCTGTCTGTTCCTTCACTACCGACTCAGCGGTGACTGAGGTGAGCAGATCAGTGGTTTGTGTTGAGAACAAGAAGAATTTGTTTTCTGTTRACTTCATCTCTCATTACCTCTGAGAGAAGTAAGAATAAGTGCTGACAAGCAGTCCTGAGGACTGAAAAAGTCTCTCTTCAGGAATTTTTAAGGTTCTTACAGTCCTGAGCACAGCCAGATAAAATGTTATCTGATTTTAATATTTTTCAAGGTCTGAGAAATAATGGAGAAAAGAAATAGTGGCTATAAATTACAATTAGACAAAAATCTGACTGTTGAGATTAAAATTGGATCAACTTTTTTAAAGCATACATTGGGCTGGTATTATTTTAAAACCTCGAACTGACATTTTTATTGTATTATTAAACCAGAGACAAATATACAGAGCCCACAAGGGGACATGGGGGAATTTTTTTCCTTTTGAGTTCCTACGTAAGAGTATTGCGTTACCTCGCAATACCTTTTGCGTTCCCTCGCAAAAGTAGTTTATCACTGTTGTGCCTGCCGGTTTATTAACAAACTCACATGTTCACCATTAACGAGTTAGCCTACTGCTTTAATTCAGCTTCAGAATGAACATATCACACAACTACGCTTGGAAGTACGTCATATGCCCATATTTTAACACAGTGCAGCCACACAACATCAATGTCAATTTCACGAACTTGTGGTGACACATCTTGTTTTGGTAACCRGATATTTCAAAATAAAAGTCTGATTTAATTCAGTTCATATTCAAAACAAACTTTTGCGTGGGAACGCAAAACAATATTGCGAGGGAACACAAAAGTATTGCACGGGAACGCAAAAGTATTGCGTGGGAACGCAAAACAATATTGCGTGGGAACGCAAAAGTATTGCATGGGAACGCAAAAGTATTGTGAGGGAACACAAAACAATATTGCGAGGGAACGCAAAAGTATTGCATGGGAACGCAAAAGTATTGCAAGGGAACGCAAAACAATATTGCACGGGAACACAAAAGTATTGYGTGGGAACGCAAAAAAATATTGCGTGGGAACGCAAAAGTATTGCGTGGGAACGCAAAACAATATTGCGAGGAAACGCAAAAGTATTGCGTGGGAATGCAAAACAATATTGCGTGGGAACGCAAAAGTATTGCGAGGGAATGCAAAACAATATTACGTGGGAATGCAAAACAATATTGCGTGGGAACGCAAAAGTATTGCGTGGGAACGTAAAACAATATTGCGTGGGAACGCAAAAGTCTTGCATGGGAACGCAAAACAATATTGCGTGGGAACGCAAAAGAAAAAAAAATCCCCATGTCCCATTGCGGGCTCTGTACAAACAAAATACTGCAGGTTTTCAAAATAAACTAAGTTAAAAAAACTTGCTTTAAACTAATCTTACAAATATAAAACTGATAATTGATTAGTACATACCGTGTGTGTTCAGCCCCTTTGCTTTAAAGCCCAAACCATTACCTTCAGTAACCACATACTTAGTTAACTAAAACCCTTCTGAGAGGGATCCAGTGGTGGTCTCAGGATATAAATATCTGCTCTGATAACTCTAAAACCAACACTTCAACACCTCTAAGCAGTAAGAGCTACCACCAAGATCATTTGAAGGCCAAGGAATTCTCCGTGCAAGTCAAAGCTGAGGAGAAGCACAGGTCAGGATTGGCTGTTAAAAAAAAAATCATCTAAATCCATTTTTAGGAAATGAAAAGATGATGCCGCCACGGCAAACCTGCTAAGAACTTCATACATCGGAGGTATTTGTTTGTTGTTACCAAATAAAGAATCCATTTCAATAAGGTTGTATGGGACTAAAATCAAAACAACTTCTGCAAGCCCACTGAATCCCAGTGTTCTCCCTCCCCGTGTGGAAAACTGAAAGCTTTGCTGCGGATGAACTGACTGTTGGACGTGTGGTGCTCATTCACAACACTACTTACTGTCTCTGGAGGGACAGAAGGTCAGGGAGCTGCTGTGGGGGAACTCGATGAGGTCGGACGTGGCTCCCAGCGGCGGCTCAGACAGGACGTCGGCCGTGTAGCAGGCRGTCAGGTCGGCCAGCCAGGCGGTCAGGTCACATGACTGGGAGCTGAAACGAGTGCAGTGGTGGGTCCTCTCTTTGTTCTTTCCAACCCTGAAGACGTTTAACACAGAATTACACACAAACATCGCAAAACACAAGTGGTTTGTTTGAAGAGTTGAACAAAACGGTTAAAGCCTTGTTTACAGGAGAACGCACTCTGGAAACTAGTTGTGTCCCGATTCAGAATACAAGTACAAATATTTCAGTTTGAGTCGTCTGCATTACCGAGTACTTACTGAGTTACAACCTGAACATGCCACAAAGACTTTAACAACACATTTCTTTTATTTAGAACAAGGTGTCTCCTTCCTTACAGGCCTACAGGGAATGTGCAGCATGATATAYACTGTTGCAAAGATTTTTGTTCAACTTGCATGAATTTCTTAAACAGGAAACTTTTCATTTAAACTGTAAGGCATTTAATGGAGTATTAACATCAGTATCAATACTGGTATTGGTATCAGCCCCGAGTATCGGTGGTGTTTTTCACAAGTACAAGTGCTTGTAAAAATATACTGATACAACCCCACTATTATTCTGTAACAGGTCCATGAGTACAACACGTGCAGTCCGGAGCAGGAGGAAACAAAGCAGCTCCATCGCRAGTGTTTGGACTGAGGATGGGGTCCAGTTGCTCCTGATGGTGAGCAGGACAAACAGAACTTTACTATCAGCTGCTGCTCACTGTCAGAAGGGCAGTAATGGTGTTGTTGAGAGAACGACCAGCTGAACTCCCAACATAAACCATACAGTGTCACTGAAAACCAGCTTTGTGTAAACGGTTCCCTGAAACTCCATCCTTCCTCTGCATTAAACAAAGAATGCTCGGCCTTTAATACTAACATCTTCCTGAGAAGAATTAGGTCTGAGCCTGTGTTTGGTTCTGAGATTAGCCTGTTGAAGCGAGGTACTTACTGGGAGAACTCCACGGTGTACGAGTACTCAGCTGACGGCTTGGGCTCCCAGGTCAGCTGAGTTTTGAAATTGGTGGACTTCCAGGAGACATTGTAAGCTGTCGGGTACAAGCCTGCAGATTAAAAAAAGTTTTGGTGAGTTATTGGGTTTTTATAGTGGAACGACATAATCTTATCAAATAAAAATTAGAAATACTTTATTAAAACAGAGATTTARTTTTGTTTTCACAGCTTTAGAGGCTGAACAGAACCTGGACTCGCTGCAGGCAGGATGTATGATCCTGCCTGGATTATTTTAATTCAGTYCACTGCTTTTTCTCTCTACAAAATTATTTATAATTTTTCCTTCACAAATGATTTGGAAACGATCCCGCACGACTTCACCTTACTGAAGACGTTTGGCYTCAGCAACATCTTGTGGCGTGAACGCAGACAAAACAAACAGACTTCAGCAAAACCAGAAAACAGACTGAGTCAGTCTCGCAGGAAGCACAATCAGAAGTAAAATAAACAAACCAAAGATGAGAATCATCCATTTTAGTTTTGCACAATTCGGTCGTCATTTTATCAAAGGTGTAAAGATTTTTTTTGTTTATCTTAAAATAAAAAAAACCACTGATTAATGTCACAAAATTATTTTAGTTCTTTCACAATGTAATATATGACTTTTCACGTGTAGTTTTTATAGACCTTCATAAGCTGCTTCAGTAGTTTATATTCTTTTTGTTTATAAGTAAACTTTGCAGCTAAAACAGATTTTTCTTGATGGTTGWTTTGATTCTGAAGGCTTTAGATCCTGGTTCTGTGGGCCCGGTTTTAATGCTCTAATTTAACTTGAACTATCTGGGCAGGACAATAGGCTCATCAGTGTGGAGCTGGTGACGTATTCAGAACACTGGAAAAGTACTCTCAGTCGTGCTCCAGATGTTCCACCTGGACTTGGTCTGCAGCAGTGCATGATGGGAGATTTCTCCCATGCTGACTTTCAGAGTCCAAGAATTACAAAGTCCTTTTTTAAAAAAAAATAATTATTAAACTTCTCCCTCCTCCTCGTGTAGCTGTGGCTTTCACATTCATCCTGGACTCTTTTAAGCTTTAAAGAAACAAATGTACTGAAATATTTTTATCTGTAATTATTAACAGCTTTTTTTTTTTTACCTGCACATTTAGTTAATGCTAAACTTACTTATATAATCTCAGGTGTAGTCACGCCCATATCTGCAAACCCTGAAACACAGCAGGCTATATTTGACTGAGATTTTTCC